AACTTTTTGAAGATCCAAATTATTCAGATTGAAAATAGACTTTAATGAATATGAAGCATAAGCTGTTAAATAAGATCTAAAACCATCTTTTGCTTATTGATGAAGATAATAATTTTTTTCAATAAGTTTTTCAAGCTATTTATTTAAAATATATTAGATTATATATATATAATTTGCAAGTAACAAAATTTTTTTTTAAAAAAAAAAAAATGTGTGAAATAGTTGAAAAAATTTATTACCTGTGATTGAACATTGGCAATTTTATTGGCAGGAAATTGGTATTCATTTAATGGAACTTTTGCTTGCTTAAGACAATGTAAAAATCCAAGTTCACTTGGTAATAAAATAACAAGCTTTTTCCTTCACCACCAGCATGAGCTGTTCTTCCCACATGATGAATGTAATCATGGGGATCATCTGGTGGATCATATTGAATAATCCAATCTATAGCTGGAATGTCTAATCCATGAGCAGCAACATCTGTACAAAGAAGGACACCCTTGCTTTGCATTCATGAATTCAAAAAAGGTAATTGTTCATTTTGTTTGTTTTTGTTTACCCTAATAAAAATAAATAAATATTATTCAACATTTTTGTAATTATTGTAAAAAAAAACTTACCAAAACTTGTACATCAATATAATTTAACAACTCAGCATGAGAAAAAAACTAATATCTTTTTTTTCAAGTTCTTTTTAGGAAAGTAAATAACAACAAGAATCTTTTGTCACTATCATCTACATTTATATATTGGCCCATCTTTTAACAATATTTTTCTATTTTAGTCATTTGTGTAGCTGAAAATTTCATTTTTCTAAATATAATAAATATAAAAATAAGATATTTATATTGCCCTTAGTCTAATTTGTCTAAATATATATATATAATAACACACCTTTTGGAAGAATTTAATTATTTTTTTATTTCATCTTCAAAATCAACTTCTAGAATATGATCAATAATAAGAGCTTTAAGATTCTTGTATGAAACCCTTTGGTATTCTTTAATAAATTGATTAATTAAATATATGATCTTTGATAAAAATATTTATTCTAAAATAGAAAATAAATAAAATTAAAATCCTGAAGAAGATCTAATAGCCTTCCAGGTATTGAATTAATAAATTTACACTTATGAGCTTCAGATTGTCTATTTGTTCCACACAATGGAATTGTGATATAAAAAATTTCCCCACAATTTTCAAAAAGATACAACCAAAAACTAGGTGTTGTTGTTATAATTGATTAAGTTTTGACAATTAATCTGGATAATTTCATTAGAATCTAAACAGTCACAATAATAATAGCTAATTATTTGATTGGTTGGATTAATGAACATTAATAAATTATAGACATTAATATATTACCTGTCCACAAATCCAAAATCTTTAGTTTGATCATTTTCATTATTGCAACTTCAGTATAATTGGTGATGCTGATGTAGTAGTGGTATTATTAACAAAAATTAAGCCATAAAATAATGTAGAAGGGAGGATTGATATTTTTATAATCACATGTGATATGTAAATAGTGGATCATTTGAAAAAAAAAAATTTATTTCTCTTGATGGAAGCAATTAAATTTCCAAATGGATTGGAAAATGAATTAAAATTATTAATTGAATCAATTTATCCAAGATATGTTTATTATATAAGCCAATTCCAGATGGACATCTCAGACTAATTAGAATTAATAATATATTAAGTGAATTACATGGAACATTAAAATTAATAGGAAATTGTGCTGATTGTAAAAAAGAAATGATAAAAGATGATGATTATCTTATTTCTTTATTGAATAAATCAATTGATGCATTAAATGAACTTTCAAATAGATTAAAAGAAAATAATGAAGAAGAAAGTAAAAAATTAATTGAAGGATCATATTTCAATTTAATTTGCACAGATGTTGAGTTGAATAGAGTTGTATTATGCAATAGTTGTAAAAAAATGAAAATTGGAATCTTAGAGGCTGATTGTGGAAATAAAGAAATAGCCAGGTTTCTTTATGAATGTAAAAAAATAAATAGATATGAAGATAGTTATATTGAATGGATTCCTTTTAATGAATTCAAAAATATTGAATATTTGGCTAAAGGTGGTTTTGGTGAAGCTCATAAAGCAATATGGATTAACTATTATTATATATTTAATAATCAATCTGAAACAAATGTGACATTAAAAAGATTATATAACTCAAGTGATAAAATTACAGATATTTTAAAAGAGGTAAAACTTTTAGTATTAATTTTTTATAAATATTATTAATCTTGATTATAATTATAATCATTGATAATTTTTAGTTAAGAGCAAATAATGAAAATAATGAAATGAGTGGTTATATCAATAAATGCTTAGGAATCACAAAAGATCCAAGCACAAATGAATATATGTTGGTATTTGAATATGCTGAAAATGGAGATTTACATAATAATTTATCAAATAATTTCAAGGAAATTACTTGGGAAAATAAAATCATCTCACTTTGTTGTATTTCAAATGGGCAAGTTTTAAATTTTATTATTAAATCATATTTTCTTTTTATAAAATTAACTTTATACATTTATTATTAATATTATTAAAATGAATTAGATTAAAGTATATTCATGAAAAGAATTATATTCATCATGACTTTCACAGTGGTAATATTCTTTCACATAATTGTAAGAGTAGTGAAATAGGAGATTTAGAATTATGTCAACAAATAATAAATAAAAATGAGAATCCAAATGAGATTTTTGGAGTTATTCCATACCTGGCACCTGAAGTATTATCAGGTAAACAATATACAAAAGAATCTGACATTTATAGTTTTGGAATGATTATGTGGGAATTCACCACAGGTAAAAAACCTTTTTATAATGTATCACATGATCATCATCTAATAATGGATATTCTTGGAGGAGTGAGACCTAAAGTCACCAAAGATCCTGAATTCTATGCTGAATTGATGAAAAAATGTTGGGATCCAAATCCAAAAAATAGACCAACTGCTATTGGACTTAATGAATGCTTTGAGAAATATTATTATGAGCCTTCTAAAAAACATTGAATTAGCAGAATCAAAACGTCAAGAGATAATTAAATCAGAAAAATATCTTTCAGGAACAAAAAACCATAAACACCATGTAGATGCATTCTATACAAGTCGCTCACTTAGTAAATTAATTGAGCAGGCTAATAATAAATTGGCTACTATATCAATGAATGATGATGATGATGATGATGATGATTCATCAAATAAAAAAATTCAACCAAATAGTTTAATTGAATATAATTTTGACAGTAATGCTTCAGTAATTATGCCAATGCATATGAAATGAAAAATGATGGCAGTGATGGTAATGTTAGGGATTGTGATGTTGATGATGATATTAGATATTATAGTGGTGTTATTAGTGATGATGATAAAAAGAAGCAATCAAAAAAAGTTGTCATAATTTATGTATTTTTTTTATATTTGTTATTATTTTTTTTATTTAATATATTTTCTTATTTGACTGAATAAATATTTTAATTACATAATGATCATATATTATGTTTTTTTTGGGACGTTATCTTCTGGCAAGCTCCTTTAAAATTTTTATTTTATTTTAATCTACCAATGACCGTGCTACAAAAATAGTTTTTTTAAAAAATATATCGATGGAAAAAAGGTGAACGCATCAACGTTATGTGATAGAAGAAAAAACAAGGGATCATTCATTATAATTATTCGACAAAAGATTTATTGTAAGAGTCCACAATATAAAATTCAACGAAGCATTAATTATAAAAGCAATTAAAAAAAAAGAGTAGTCTTTTTGTTTGAATAATTTTTTTTAATAATAATAATAAGATACTCAATAACGATATAAACAACTACCGTTTGAATAAATTTGAATTCAAATTCTAGATAAAATAAATAAATTTATAATACTTATATGTGTGTATGTCCTTTAAAATTAGAAGTTTTTAAAATCAATAAAAAATATTTGATTGCAAGTATAATCAATCGTATCTGGATTTATTAAATCCGCCTTCGTATCAATGCGATGACGATCATCATCATTAAACTTTCCGCATCCAACAATGAATATGAATAATAATAATAATAATAATAATAATAACACATTAGCTCAAAATTTTGTTAGTCTTTTGACACTTTTACTACTTGTACAACAAAGAAATGAATTGGATGAAGAATCATCAGAATCTGAAGTGGAAGATGAAGAAGAGGAGGAGGAGGAAGAGGAATTTTTATTGGCGTTGGCAGGTTTTACACAATTATCACAAAATGAGTCTAATTGGGCTATAAGATATTATCGAACTCAAAAAGGTTCTAGATATTATAAAACATGTTTGGAAATGCAAGATTCTGAATTCAAAAAATATTTTAGAATGTCTAAAGAAATGTACGAATGGTTATGCGAAGAATTAATTCCATTATTACAAAATAACAGTGAAAATAATAATAACAATGATAATATTAATGCTGCTGACTGTAATAACAAAAATAAAAGAAATAGTACAATAATAGATGATAATAGTAATAATAGTTTATCAATTAACAATGTGCATCAATTGCAAAATCAACAATCATCATCATCGTCGTCATCAACAACATTGGTGACTAATAGTGCAAATACGCGTCAACAACCAATACTGACATCATTAGCGACAACACCAACACCAACATCACCATCACCATCACCAGGATTTATATCATGGAACCATAAAATTCTTGCAACACTATGGTTCTTTGGTACAGGTGAAAATTTCAACAGACTTGGAAATAGGTTTGGAATGGGAGAATCTACAACCGGATATGTTTTAAGGGATGTGGTGAATGCTATAAATAAAAGATTTTTGAAAGAAAAAATCAGGTATTTAAAAAATAAATGATTGATTTAACGAATCCCAAGCATCCTTCTTTCATTTGTTTATCTCATACAATCAATTTATTTTAATTACAATTCCTTTTTTTTTTTTTTTTTTTTGGTCGATAGACTTCCAGTGAATGAGAGTGAATGCTTGGAGATTAGTGATGGGTTTAGTAAGGTGGCAGATTTTCCAGGAATATTTGGTATTATAGGATGTAGTCATATTAAAATCAAATCGCCATCGACTTTTGCAACAAATTATTATAATCATCAAAAAAACCATTATTCAATAATAATACAAGCAGTTGTGGATGATAAAAAGAAATTTATTGATATGTCAGTTGGTTATCCTGGTTCGACGCAAGATAATATAGTGTTTACAAGATCACCGATATATAGTATTATGAACAATATATACAATAATAACAGCGATAATAGCAATAACATTAATAGTGCTGGTAATGATAATTCCAGTAGTAATAATTTTGGTAGTAGCGGTAGTAATAATATTATTGATGACGATAAAATTATTAGTAGCAATAGTAGTGGTAATAATTTATCACAATTTTATCTCTTAGGTGATGTTGGTTATCCTAATTTAAATTGGATGCTGACACCATACAATGACGATGATCAAGGAACGATTCTCACAAGAGAGGAATCGTATTATAATTTGTGTCATTCACACACAAGAAAAAAAATAGAACAAAGTTATGGATTGTTAAAATCTAGATGGAAATGTCTTAATATTACTTTTGAAGCGTCAATTGAATTTGTAGCATTGATTGTATCAGCTTGTTGTATTTTACATAATCTTTGCGAAGAAAGAAAAGAATTTCTACCACCATGTGAAATCTTTTCTGATAATGAGAAGGTGGAATTTACTCGTAATAATATTAGATCAGAAGCTGGTATTTTAAAGAGAGATAAAATCAAAAATCATTTATGGTTTACAAGAACTAATAATGAAACTGAAAATTTTACTAATTATTATTAACATTAAAAAAAGCTTTTTATTTATATATTATATGCGTGTGTATGTTTGAGTGATTGTATGTGTGTATATATACATTTAGTAAGAGAAAATGAGAGAAAAATGAGACAAAAGAAAAGAAAATATTATTATTATTATTATTATTATTATTATTATTATTATTATTATTATTATTATTATTATTATTATTATTATTATTATTGAGGAGTTTGTGAATTAGAGGTAGAATTAGGATCAATATTATTATCATTATGAAGAGTGGTAATATCATCATTTTTTAAATTTGGATCTATAATTCAAAATTTTTTAATAAAATGAAATCTAAAAAAAAAAAAATTTCAAAATCTAATTAAATGAAAAAATTAACCTTGATTTTGTGGTATAAATGGCATTGAAATATTATGTAAAATGTTAAACATCATCATATCCAATTTTTCTCGTCTTTCATGCCTTTCTTTTCTTTCCTTTTCTTTCAATTCACGTTCTTTACGTCTTTCTTCTTGTTGACTGATGCAATGGTTAATATAAACTTCTAATAAATCTGCAGTTGATTTCTTTTTATCTCTTCTTTTTCTTAAATATCTTAATTCATCCTCATCCTCATCATCCTCCAAATCCATCGTTAATGATCTTTTTAATCCATTAACAGAATCTCTGCCATTATTATTATTATTATTATTATTATTATTATTATTACTACTATTACTACTACTACCACCAGCATTATTATTATTACTATTATTATTACTACTACTACTACTATTATTATTATTACTATTAGCTGGTTCTCTTGATTTTTTGTATCTGTTATTATTCAAAGCTGAACCAACAAGAATTGAATTTGACGCTAAAGACATTGATGATCCTTGTTTACTAATAATATCTTCAATCTGTGCTTGATATGATATGACAATGGAGCTAACACTATTATTATTTTTATTATTATTATTATTATTATGATTATTATTATTACTATCGCTATTACTATTATTATTATTATTATTACTACTACTATTATTATTACTAGTATTACTATTATTTACAATTTCGTCATGATTACTATTTTCAATTGTCGCAGATTTACTACGTTGACTCTATTCCAAGATTATTTATTGTTTTAAAAAAAAACAAATAATTAGTGTTAACATTAATTAATTCTAATAAAGGACAACACTAACAATAAACAATAATAAAGTTATTTCTACCTTGTAATTGTCAAGAAGATTCTTCCATTTAGTAAAAGCTTGAATATTGTTAACATTATGATTCAAGTTGCAAAGATAATCTGAAGCTCTATTCCACAAGTCCGCGTCCGGCTTAGATCCACCCCGTGTACTTTTCAACTGACTTAGCTCATCTTTGTTTTCACGTAAAAAATCTAATAAGGCGAGTGTAGCACCTTCACCCCATTTTATGCGTTGTTTTCTACTATTAGCGTCACTACTAGTCATTATTTGTTTTATTATTTATAAAAGTGAATGAATAAAAATAATTCCAATATCCTAAATAAAAATGTATACATTGTTTACATAATGAACAGAAGGGTCCCCAGATTAATATACATACATGTGAAATAAGTAATCACATTATTTACACACCTTCTGAAATTACTGTTGCTATTACTATTTATTACCTACAATTTACTATTATTACTACGTCCAAAAAGTCAATTTCATTTTAATTGGAAAAGTTAAAATTAATGTTTGCGGAAAGGCCAACGTATCGGAATTTATGGCTATTACTTACATTATTATCAAATGATGCATGCAGACGTTACAATTAATTAATTGATTTGATTAATTATTACTTCACTTCATAGTCCAGTGTCGATGAATGATTCGTTTCCGTGCATTGTACTAACTTTAAATGGAAAGCATGTGCCTGAATTTGCAACAGCGATTCAATAAACGCATTTTTCTGCTACATCGTTTAATCGATCGTTCCGAATAAAAATATATTTATTGCTTTATCAAGAAATCAATAATAATTTACCTTCATAACTACTTAATAAATTTATTCCACGCGCAGAACTTGGAGTATTTCGTGTTAATTAAATAATAAACCTTGCTTTGGTAATGAGAATTACTTTTGAGATTTAAATGTTCTCACAACATCTCAAATAAGAGATATCGTGTTTTAATCGCAGCACTATTAATAAATAAGCCAATATATAGCGATAATAGTTTGGGTAAACTTGGTGGTCATTGCTTTAAAGTAATGGTACGGTAGGATATTTTTTATTGAAAAAAGTTCTATTTTTTTTTTATTTTTATGAATTTATGGATTTGTAAGTTAAAATACAATTTGAGAAAATATAAATATATCCAGATGCATATCTAGATAATATAAATACTTATTACTCATTATTAAATAAACGTAAGCCTTATAAAATAAGTTAGTAAATAAGTTGATGAAGGCTGAACTTTTAATGATTGCTTTGTCAGGAAGTTGAATTAATAATTAACGCGACTCTATAATCATGCATAAATAATATATTAGCAATGGTCATTATTTTTTTTTAATGATTTTTATATGAAATTAATTAAATGAGAAATTTTCCAACCTGAATGTCTGAAATGTAATCTTTTAATTTTTCACTGCCTCTTTCAACAACTGTTTTTATCGTCTCGTAATCAGTTGATGCCTGACCAATGAACCTTCTTGCAAAATCACGAGCATTGACTTCTATTCCATTTAAATCTAAACTTTCGCTTGACCTTTCTTCATCATCCTCTCGTCCAAAATATTGGCTTGAAGAAATTGACGTCGCTCCCTCAAACAACTTCAGACGATCAGACGAAGCAGATAATGATTCTGGATCATAGTGATTCCGTCCAAAATATTGATCTGAGGAAATTGATTTTTGATTTCCAAATTTTTGTCGTGCATAATCACCATCGGTTGATTTATTGTAATCTACAAGTTGAAAAATAAATCAAATAAATATGCATATTGTGTGTATATATATATGTGTGTGTGTATATGTAAATAAACAATAAATAAAATGCTCAATACGACACTAAATATACTAATAATTACAATTACCAACCATCTTGACTTTGTTCATTGTAATTATTAGAACTTGAGGAGCCAAAACCAACATATCGAGGCGTGACGGATTCTTCGACATTTTTTTTATTTTGAGTTGAAACAGTTCCAAACCCTAACTTTGTTAACCCCATTCCGAGTCTTTCCATATCATCACTTGGTCTACTAGAATTTTGTGATGTCGGTGATTGAGCTTCATCGTTATACATTAGCCGAGAACTATAAGACCATTTATCTTCTGATTTAGTTGAATTTATCTCCTCTTCATAATTTGAAGATTGGGCCAACTGAGCTGCCAGTTCCTCTTCTTCTTTAGCCTTTCGTGCTGCCTGTTCAATGTCAATCTTTTCCACCTTCACTGCTCCTAAACCCATTTTTGATTTCTTGGGTCCTTTTCCTCTGGAAGTGATACTGGATTTTTGTGGGCTGGACGTTGTTGTTTTTATTACAACGCTACTGCTACTACTACTGCTGCTTCCATTGGAACTTGTGGATACTTTGACGGCAGGTACAACGGTTGACTTGACGCTAGTAATTATCTTTTCTTCTTTAACAGCTTTTTCTTTTTCAGGAATTAAAAATAAATCTTCATTTTTTTTTGAAGTTGATGATTGTAGTTCCTCCTGATTATTATCAATGGTAAATTCAGAATTTCTTTTTTTTTTTTTTTTTATCGGGCGAATTTAAAGTTAGATATGTATATATATATATATTTATTAAGCAATCTGGTATTTTTTTTTGGGAAGAAATTATTGAATAAAAAACAAAAAATGATAATTACTTTCGTTCATCTTCTTTAGCTCTTTTGATTAATTCATCTTTATATTTTAATGCTACTTTGGAGGTATACTTGAGATTTATATCTTTATTCTTGAACGAAGCTCCACTACCATGTTTAGCAAAATATTCTGATGCAGCTGTATTACCACCTATCTTCATAATTCTTAATTGATCCCATGTCCAAGAATCTAAAGATATTGATCTATGTCAAATAAATTTAAATTAACAAATAAATATTGATGTTGATATAATTGTTCAACAAGTTAAAATAACATATATGATTTTTCCTTTAATACCTTACAAAACTAATGTGAACACCAAGATTTCTGTGTACCGAAGAACAATTTAAACAAAGATAAATACCAAATGTAACACTTGACCAGGATGGACTATTGGCCTGGCAATCAAAGCACATCTAATGGAATGCAACACATATATATTCATTTATTTATTTTATAAATTATATAATTCCAATTTTATAAAATTAAATCGTTTTTTGTTCTTTACCTTATTTGCTCTTTGAGCTGTTAGTTTTTTAAATATCTCATCGATTTGGGCCTTTGTTGGTTCTGACATCTTGGTTATATCAAGTTTAGAAATGAAATCTACAACTAAAAATATAATTCGTGAATCTTATTAAACGACTAAATTAGGAAATGTCAATGCCCATGTGACAAGCTCGGCGGTATAGGGAAGATCTTTTACTGGCCGGGCGGGATCTTTAAAAAAACATATAATCACCTCTTAAATATTAATTTTCTATATAAAAAAAATTTTAATATGAACTCGACAAGAAATCTCAGCGTAATTTTTGGCAAGCAATTTTTTATTAAATATTGAAATATATTAATATTAATCATTGGTTAGCCAATCTTTTACGTCAACAGTTGTTAAATACGTAATTTTTGTTTCTACTCAAAGTTGGAAATATACCGTATGATCTTACAGAGGAACAGATAACCGAAGTATTCAAAGAAGTAGGGCCCATAGTATCTTTTCGGTAGGCCAAATAATAATTTTTTTTACGCGTTAAAATTATAATTTTGCTTGTTTTGGTATTTTAATCGATAATAAACCGATTGTTTAAAAAAATTTAAAAAAGTCTTGTTTTTGACAAAGAGAATGGAAGACCGCGTGGATATGGATTTTGTGAATATTACGGTAGGTGGACATTCAGATCTAATAAGTAACTCCTTTTCAAAAAAAGATTTCCGACTAATTCAACGTCAACATCATAAAAATGAAAAAGACCCAGAGACAGCAGAAAGTGCAGTAAGAAATTTAAACAACGTTGAAATTGGAGGGCGTCAACTGAAAGTCGATTATGCTGATAATGATCTGCCAACTACATCCTCCAATTCAGCAAACAATTCCTCACGTCAAAATGATAGGTCAAATTCAGAAAGACATCAACAACTGCAACAACAACAACATCAACATCAACAACTACAACAACATTACCAACAACATCAACACCGTCACCAACAACAACCACCGATATCCCGGCCTAATGCCAACATTCATCAAACACGTGCATCTCAGCAATCTAGTCTTGAAAGCATTTCACTAGCAATAAAACATTCAATGAATAAAGCTCAACTCCTCGAGATATTATCTACCATGAAGGTTCAAACCATTCCTTTTTCCATTGAGAAGCTTTTTCAATATAAATTCACTTAATCAATTGTTTTTTCACAAACATCGTTCATTAGTTGTATATACAAACTGATGCAAATCAAGCTCGTTCATTATTGTCACAAAATCCTCAACTTTGCTATGCATTATTTTTGATAATGTTAGATCAGAATATTGTCGATCAAAATATATTGGCAGTATGTTGTTAATAATAATAATAATAGATGGAGTTTATCGAAATAATTACTAATCATTATGTTAATTTTAGAGTATAATACATCAAAGCGCTTCACAAGGTCAACCTATGCCTCAATCAGTCCTATCCAATTATGGTCCTCAGTCTATTCCCAAGATTCCATCACCATCAATTCCTCATCAACATCAATCGATCTCGTTCGCCCCAATTCCTCAACAATCACATATGCAACAGCCTTCATCTATTCGGCAATCTTCGCCTATTCAACAACCACGAATGCATCTGCCCCCAATGCAACAAGCTATCAGTATGCCGGCAATAAATGCTGGAATGGTTAATCATTCACAGGCTGTTGCTAATTTAACAGCAGGAAATATGAGTAAGCTATTTATATATCTTCAGTGCGATTGATGAATGACAAAGATATTTGTAGTGCTTAATCACTTACCTTCTTTTTCAATAAAGATCATTTGCAAATGCAGGAAGCTCAAAAATCTGTTAGTATAAAATATAAACCAGTTATTATTTATTTATTATATATATTTATCTGTTATAAATGTGCGTATAAATATATACGGTATTATTTATAAATTTACATGTACATTATTTAATCCAATAGTTATTATTACAAGTCCTAAATCTACCTCAAGCACAAATTGATATGTTACCACCAGACCAACGTAATCATCTATTGGCTTTGGTGAGTTTGATATACTTTTCTAGATTTTAATTAATTCATTTTCTTCCCGCGTTAAAAAAATTTTTTTTAAAAAATAATTGATAAATAGAAACAACAACCTTTAATCCAGACTAGACCAACGTAAGTTAAATCAGAAAGCATATAAATATTTTATTTAAAACGACATTTAATTAATCATTACCATTATTATTGCCATTATTAAATTATACTGTAAAGATTTCTTGTGAACTCTTAATATTAATATTAAAAGATTGTCAGATGTGTGCAGATCATTTTATGTAAACCAAAATAAAAAAATTTTTTCTTACACGATATTGATATTATAAATTTTACAAATGACTAAGCGTTCAAAAAAAATCCATGAAAGACATGAGGAAAATGATAATAATAATAAAAAGAGACAAAAAATTAAAGATGATGATTCTGATGAGACAGATAATGATGATGAATTCAATGAATCGAATATAATCGATAGTAAAAACGAAGTTCCTGAAATTAAATACAATGGTTAGACTGAAATGTCAAAATTTAAATTTGTTTGAATAGGGTTTATAACTTATTTATCTTGTTGCTGTTATGTTATTATTTATAAGATATAGAAAGTGTAAAAGATCAAGAAATCGCTCATGATTTTGAATCGTTGGACATTTCTGAGCCAACAAAAAAAGCAATTCAAGAAATGGGTTTTACAAAAATGACAGAAGTACAAGCTAGAACTATACCACCGTTAATGGCAGGTCAAGATGTATTAGGTGCAGCAAAAACTGGATCGGGAAAGACATTGGCCTTCTTAATACCAGCTGTTGAATTATTGCATAAATTAAAATTCAAATCAAGAAATGGTATAAATTTAGATTTTGGTTTGTTTTTTTTTTTTTAAATAAAAGGAAATTTTTTTTTACCAATTTTATAATTTTATAGGAACTGGTGTGATTATTATTTCACCGACAAGAGAATTAGCACTTCAAATTCTTGGTGTAGCAAAAGAGTTAACCAAACATCATAGTCAAACTTATGGAATTGTTATGGGTGGAGCAAATAGACAAGCTGAAGCTCAAAAATTGGCTAAAGGCGTAAATTTATTAATTTCAACACCGGGAAGATTACTAGATCATCTTCAGGTTATTATCGCATTTTAATTTTATTTGTTTTCTATAATAAATTTTTTTTTATCAAACATCATATATTTAATTAATCAATTTATTAAAGAATACCAAGGGGTTTTTATACAAGAATCTTAAAGCTCTGATTATTGATGAAGCTGATCGTATTCTAGAAGTTGGTTTTGAAGATGAAATGAAACAAATAATTAAAATTCTTCCCAGAGGTATATTATTATATTTAAACAAAATTAGACATTTGAATATTAAAAAAAAAATCTGATGGCAATAAATACCTTATTTTATATTTTTTATATTTAGAAAACCGACAATCCATGTTATTTTCAGCTACACAAACAACAAAAGTAGAAGATCTTGCAAGGATATCATTAAGAGATGGGCCAATATATATAAATGTAGATGGAAAAAAAGAAACTTCTACAGTGGACGGACTTGTCCAAGGCTATGTTGTTTGTGATAGTGACAAAAGATTCTTGTTGTTATTTACTTTTCTAAAAAGAAACTTGAAAAAAAAGATTATAGTTTTTTTCTCAAGTTGTAAATCAGTAAAGTATCATGCTGAATTGTTAAATTATATTGATGTACCAGTTTTAGATTTACATGTAAGTTTTTTTCCTTTTATTTTAAATCAACCACAAAAATACATAAATTAATATTTATTTATTTTATTTATTTATTTATTTATTAGGGTAAACAAAAACAAACAAAACGGACAACTACCTTTTTTGAATTCATGAATGCAGGGCAAGGTGTTCTTCTTTGCACAGATGTTGCTGCTCGTGGACTAGACATTCCAGCTGTAGACTGGATTATTCAATATGATCCACCAGATGATCCACGTGATTATATTCATCGTGTGGGAAGAACAGCTCGTGCTGGTGGTGAAGGAAAAAGCTTGTTATTTTTATTACCAAGTGAACTTGGATTTTTACGTTATCTTAAGCAAGCAAAAGTTCCATTAAATGAATACCAATTTCCTGTCAATAAAATTGCCAATGTTCAATCACAGGTAATAAATTTTTTCAACTTTTTTTTTTTTTTTTTAAAAAAATATCATTACTTGCAAATTATATATATATATATAATCTAATATATTTTAAATAAATAGCTTGAAAAACTTATTGAAAAAAATTATTATCTTCATCAATCAGCAAAAGATGGTTTTCGATCTTATTTAACAGCTTATGCTTCATATTCATTAAAGTCTATTTTCAATCTGAATAATTTGGATCTTCAAAAAGTTGGCAAATCATTTGGTTTTCAGGTACCACCTAAAGTAAATATTAACATTGGGTCTAGTGGAAGAGAATCTAAAATTAGCCATAATAATTATAGTCGTAGTAGTAGCATTAATAGAAATAGAAAATTCAACAATGATGATGATAATTTTGATAAAAAAGCTCACTTTGTAAAACAAAGAAATAGTGCAATAGTTAAAGATAAGGACAAACAATGGAGTAGATAAATACAAAAATAAAATAAATGATTATATATGTAAAATTTAAACTGTCATTAATTTAATTTTTTTTTTATACAACCTAATATGATATTTATATAAACAGAAAAAATAAAAAATTTAATCCTTTAAATAGTTATTTTGAAAGTATTTTTTATGGTATTTAATGTTATATATATAATTATCATGAATTTGCTATTCTTGTACAACTCCAGCATGTTTAAATATGTTTTTTGACAAAGAGGTAAGTTGTCTTTATTGGATTGGACTCTCTTTTTAAGGTGCCTTCTCATATTTACTGTCCCACCATCAATTGCTTTAATACCAATATTACCAGTACCATTAACATGGCTACTAACAACACCCAACACCGCCACTTGTAACCTTCAACATCAACACCATCATTACATTATCATCACTGCCATCATTTTTCATTTCATATGCAGTGGCATAATTACTGAAGCATTACTGTCAAAATTATATTCAATTAAACTATTTGGTTGAATTTTTTTATTTGATGAATCATCATCATCATCATCATCATCATCATTCATTGATATATTAGCCAGTTCATTATTAGCCTGCTCAATTAACTTACTAAGCAAGCGACTTGTATAGAATGCATCTACATGGCGTTTATGATTTTTTGCTCCTGAAAGATATTTTTCTGATTTAATTATCTCTTGGCGTTTTGATTCTGCTAATTCAATGATTTTCTTATATTCTTCAGAAATATCAAAATAATATTTTTGGAAGCATTCTTCAAGTCCAATAGCAGTTGGTCTATTTTCTGGATTTGAATCCCAACATTTTTTCATCAATTCAGTATAGAATTTAGGAGTGTCTTTGGTGACTTTAGGTCTCACTCCTCCAAGAATATCCATTATTAGATGATGATCATGTGGAACATTATAAAAAGGTTTTTTACCTGTGGTATGTTCCCACATAATCATTCCAAAACTATAAATGTCTGATTCTTTTGTATATTGTTTACCTGATAATACTTCAGGTGCCAGATATGGAATAACTCCAAAAATCTCATTTGGATTTTCATTTTTATTCATTAATTGTTGACATAACCCTAAATCTCCTATTCTGCTAATATATGAATTGTATGAAAAAATATTACCACTATGCAAGTCATGATGAACATAATTATTTTCGTGAATATGCTTTAATCTAATTTATTTTAATATAATAATAATAAATGTATAAAGTTAATTTTATAAAAAAAAATTTTTTTAATTAATAACAAAATTAAAACTCACCCATATGAAATATTATAAAGTGATTTAAATTTATTTTTCCAAGTAATGTCCTTGAAA